ACATAAACTGCTTCAAAATATTGTATTTTCAATTACTTTTCTTTACCTAAGTTACTAAACAAAACTCTCGCATTTCCAGTGATGAGAATCCCATTTAGTGGCCGTTTAGTGACCGTACATTTCTTTGAAAAAGAAACGAGACATAATCTTACAGTCAATGAGGAGCGCTATAGATTCATGACTAATGACTTATTCGTGACTCAGTTGGCTGATTTTAATGTGACGACCTTTGGTTCCACCAAACCGGGGCTGCATGCCATAAAGCCTACGAAGCAATCAATTTAATTGGTAAGTACGTTACCTCGCGTCATGGTTTTTTGATAAGATCCCAAGATCATGCGATTAACACCACTGTACTATTTTTTGTAGGATTTTGTGGAGTTTAGACATTCAACAAATAAGTCCGAGAGCACTGAACACTGCAAAGAGAATTTTCGGCCCGTTATTGCTGACTTAGGGTACCGATTTCTGCACAAAGTGGTCGAAAATTGCAAACCAAATGACAAAAAAAATACATACTGCAAAACTCATACAACGTCGCTCTTTCTTCCACACATTTTCTTCGGAATTTCAATCAATCAAAGGTCAGATGGAAATGAAAGATAGTTTAGAAATAATACTGATTTTAAGCTTTAGTTCATATATGGAAGAAATGTAGCCTTGCTTGGTTCCCATTTTAAAAATCGCCGATATACGTAAGTTGTAGCATAATGGGATCATTTCAAGTTTTAAAGAATGGCTAAGAGGTAAAAGCTTAAAAAATTAAGCAGAAGCCCAATTTGAGGCTTGGGAAGAATATAATTTGTTAAGATTCGGGTTAATGTGAAATGATTTTATTATGTTTCTTAGCTCAAAAACTCCACCAACTTATCTAACTGAAATTGGAGCATTATTGAGCTTTGTGTTTCACTCCCGGTTCAATTAAAACAATAAATTGGTTGCATCATTTACGTTAGCTGGTTGAATTCAAAAGAAACCCGGGGGCTTACAGCTATATACATTCTCTTGTGAAGTCARTTAAAAATTTTCGAATATTGTATTTTAACTCTCGATAATTCAAACTTTCCCAGCGCATTGAACCTAAGTATGTGTTTAGGTGCTTTATTTTAATTTTAGCTCTTTCACTTCGTTGGTCTAAATTATTTATGGKCATATCAAAGTGTGAGTGAGTGGGCCGTTGGGGATGGTTGTGTTGATATGATACTATCTAATTTTTTTCCAAGCAGCTAAGGCAACTGGCAGCTGGCAAAACTTTCATTCTTGAACGAATCGCGAGATTGCACATCGTCCAGATAAAATTCTTACAACTAATGTAAGGTGAACTTTGCTGAGGACGAAAACCTTACTAGATATTTTGCGATTTATGTATCYTGAGCTGGAGGACCTTGCGACTAGACTTGTTGCAAGAAGCTGATCAGACAAGATTTATACCAGCTTTAAAATCGTGAATAACTCWTGTGACAAATTGCTGTCAAAATGAAAATAAAAAGATTTTTTTTCTATCGATTTTAAAGATAGAGAATGAATATAGTATAAATCTTTAATGAAGTGTTCTTTCAATTCGTTAGTGATAACTGCATATTTTTTATAGATCAACTTCTTCTGTGTGATGAAATTCTATAATATAAGAATGCGATATGCTTCTACAGCAAAAGTGCATTGCTCGATAATAAAATTTTACAATGCTTGCTAATTGCTAAACTGAAATTTGTAAGGAATATTCATAGCTTAGCCTGAAAGTACTAAAATTTCGCTATAAAAATTAAGACATTTTTGGTATTAAAATTTTTGGCACCACTTACTATAACTCTGGGAATAATGTAGCTTCCAACACTGTTAAGATGGTCATATGTATACATTTACCTATTTGATATGTCCGCTAATAAACTGATGCTTACGTTAACTCGTACTTATACTCTTATGAATTTGATTAATTGAACTTGACAGCTGTTGAGCGCRTTTTATGTTCGCATCAATATCACTAAACATTTTATGATTTAACGCAGTRACACTGTCTGTACTAAGCATTAAATGTGTATTCTTCTTCTTTACTGGCRTAGACACCGCTTACCCGAGCAAGGGTAATMMTGCGTTGTATTTCCAGGCTGACATTGTTGGTGGTGTTAATACTGATTTCTAAATAGACGAAATTGTCTACACCTTCAATGTTATGACTGTCCAGCCTGGAGAAAACAGAAGTAACAGTGCGGGTGTTGAGCCCGATGATTTCAATCCTTCCCGATCCTGATGGAGCTTCTGGTGTTGCTCAACGTCAGTTTACATAGCCGTATTCGTTTTGCGGGGAAACAAAATTCAGACATCGCGGCATAAAGGTAGCTCCTTTTCGTGCTATCGAAAACAGCTTTGAAATCGATGGAAAAGTGGTGTATGTCGACTCCCCTCTCACGGGTGCTTTCCAAGATTTGTCGCATGGTGAATATCTGGTCGGTTGTTGATTTGCCAGGTCTAAAGCCACACTGATAAGGTCCAATCAGTTTGCTGACGGTGGGCATTAATCCGTCACACAATACGCTCGATAAAACGTTATATCCGATGATGAGAAGGCTTATCCCGCAGTTGGCGCTGATTGTGGACTGGGGAAAGCACACTTAAATTCCAACCATTGGGCCTGCTTTCGTCCGACCATATTTTACAAAGAAGCTGATGCATGCTCCTTATCAGCTCTTCGCCGCCGTGTTTGAATAGCTCGGCCGGTAATCCATCGGCCCCCGCCGCTTTGTTGTTCTTCAGGCGGGTAATTGCTATTCGAACTTCTTCC